GTTGTTTTGGTTGAAATTTCATGACAAATTCCAAGCTTGTATGCTACCCATTTTCGGTCACATTGAAGAAGCATTAAGGAAAGATAGAAACCATGAATACAAGCTTGGAATTGCATGTTTAATTGATGTTTGGATTGAACTTTGGAAGAAAACCAAAGTTAGGGTTTAAGGGAGCATTTTCGGTCACCATGAGTTCTTGAAGTTAGAGATTGTTTCAATGTAATTTGATGATTCCAATGAGTTTAAAAGGTGTTGTTGTGTAGGGAAATACCAAGGAAAAGTGTTTAAAATCATTGGAATCAAAAATAAAAATTTTGAAACTTAAAACTACCTATTCAGCCAAATCAATTTGAAGGGAAAGGATTGTGATTTTGTTAAATCTGATTTGATATTTGGATTTTATATGAAAAATTGTGTATGAATGGCCTAAGAGATTGGTTGAAACAAAGATGAAATAACTATGTCAAAAATTAAGGAAAAAGGGGTTTAATTGAGTTTAATGTTGAGTATTAGTATTTATAATTGGATTATTGGTAATTTAGAATGTGTTTATGCTTGGAGTGATAGGCATTGTGTAAGAAATCAAAGAGGAGCACAAATTTTCCAAAGAGGCTGAATTGAATAATTAATTAAGAGGCATTGAACTCATAATTTGAATGCTTTCTTGCTTGTTTAAATGTATACATGTTATTTGATTTATGCTGCCATTATGTGATTGAGCAAATTATATGATTATGTATTGAATATTATATTGAATATGTCTTGGTAATATGTTATAAGGAATGGTATAATAGCTTGATTGATTACTCTCTTTCTGTGGCAAATAATATGTACATGAAATGTTGCATGATAATGTTATTTTCATTATAACATAACACATTTTTACATAGCATCATTAGTATGATAATTATGATTCATTGCTACTGAGATTTCTATGAAATCTCATTCTTTTATGTCTAGATATTCACTAACTAGGGGTTGGACCAAGCAAGGACAAAGGAAAAGAGATCATCTTCAGAGATAATTGAATATTATGCCTCTTTGAATAATGTTTGTAATTATTGTGAATTATTATGAATTTTTCTGAGTTATGTGGGATTAATGTATTATTAACCAAAGTTGATATACATGTGATTATATCATCAAGAAATCATATTTTGACATGGTTTATGTGATTGCAATGGTCATATGGAATAAAACGAGAAAAATAACCAAGAATTGCATAAAAAAGGAGATAAAAGTTGACTTTTTAAGGGTAAAGTTTGACCAAATGAAATTTTGTGTAAATGGATCAGAATTTGGCTGAAACTTGGTAGGATTATAGATTATATTTTTAGCTTTAAAACCAGTAGTATTTCATAAAATTTAGAGTTTTGTATAAAGAGTTATGCCCTTCTAAAGTTGGGTAAAGTTTCTGAAAAATTAAAAATGACCATACGAATAGTACCACTTTATGTGAAATTTGGAGCTGATTGGTAAAATCTGACAGTAGTGAGTATTTTTCTCTTAAAGATCATATTAGGAGCTTTAAATAGAACTTGGAACCACCTCATTTCAATTTTTCTAGAATTAGTTATGAATTTTTAAAATTGAGCCTTTGTTAGGGTTACAATGAATAGTAACCTAAATTTATGAAATTTTAAAGTTCAAATTTTTTCAACTTAAGATCATAAGAAATGGTTCCAATTAAGATAAAATGTGGTCTAAAAGTAAGGTGTGACAAGGTCATTCCACTAAATAAGTACATTGAATGGGCTAAATTTTTCTTAAATCCTGTCCAATCCAATGGCTCTAAAAATTCATTTCTTCATGATAGTAACTTCTTTTTAATGAGAGAAAGTTCTCTAATTTTTCTTAGATAAAAATTCAACCTATAACTGCCTCTCTAACCATGTCCTCTCTTCATAAAAATGGCACCAAAAATATTAGAAAATTAGGGAGAAAATTGCTTCACCGAGCTTTAGGTCACTCCACTAAATAACTATACCGAATCAGTTAAATTTTTCTTAAATCCTGTCTAATCTAGTGGCTATAAAAATTCATTTCTTAAATCCTTAATGCTTGATTGAATGTTCCCCAATCAATCATTACCCCTGATTGGTGATTTATTTCCCTTGATCAAAGAGATTTTCCTCTCTTGGACCAAATAATCTGGTTCATCAAGGGCAAACTTGGACCTAATGTTCAACATCTTCTACTTGTACTTGACGAGTTGACCATCGTGGGATTTTCCTATTCCTCTTATTTCATACTTGGTGCCTATCGTGACTACAGGGTTATGACGTCTTCAATTTTGAATGCTTATATACTAGAAGTCTCTTATACAGGATTAAAACACAAGGATATCCTAGATGTACCTGTAAGTTTACATATTACCTCGAATGCTCTAGATTTACCCATACATATTGCCTATGGCATATCTAGTACCTCTCAAGTTAATTCTTGATTAGTTTAGATTGCCCTTTTATGTGCTAAGCATTTACACTTACAAGTTGCTCAAATAACTTAGTAAGGGACCAGTCATAGATACTAGCACAGTTCTGTATTCAGGGTAAACCTTCCTTCTAACTGAACATCAATTGGGTCTAACCTAGTCACTTTCCCAATGTTGACTTTTTAGATTGAATCATTCATGATCATAAGGTGTAAGCTAAAGTAGCTGTCACTAAATCAGCCTCTCATGATGCTGTCTAAGTCTTAAAGACATTATGAAAGGATTTTTCTCTTTTCTAGGACTCATACTATGATGAAACAGGGACCTTTCACTCATATTCCTTGTCGCGGTTCTCATGACCACCTGTAGTATGAATTGTATGTTACAGTGTTTGTTTTCACTCATATTCCTTGTCGCGGTTCTCATGACCACCTGTAGTATGAATTGTATGTTACAGTGTTTGTTTTAACCCTGTTAAGAGCATATGACTTTGATTTATTAACCCCATATAGACTTAAGTTCTAGGTACACACAATATTTAAACCATAACTCTTCAACACAACTCTCATGAAATCTCATTAGAGAAGAGTCCTCTATCTGGCTAAGGTTTCATAAATCACATTTATCCATGATTTGATCTAATCTTTGCGTAGATTAATTACTTTGTCTATTGTAGATCCTATCTCAGACTTATTTGAGGTGACATATGTAATACTTCTTAACCATTATTCTCGCAGTGTGGTGATCATATAATGTCTTATCTTCTACTATTTCTTATGAACACAGAAGGCGGTTGCCTATGTGAGAAAGCCAACCTCAACCTATACGATATATTAGCTATTGTATACCTCACCCATATATGTATGTGTTCATCTTCATCATACATAATAGTGATGCATTCCTTTTATTTCTCAATAAACGAAGTTCAAAACCTTATATTTTGCACATACCCAAAGTCTTTAGCCATCTCATTAACAAATCCTTAACAATAGGTTATGTAAGGCAATCTACCAATTCTTTATGGGTAGAGTGATATTGAAATGTTCTTGCCTTTCAGCAATCCCATGCATTTAGTCTTACTTATGTTGATAAGGGTCCTTAGCACAAGTTATGACTGCCTATCATAACATATTAAAACATGACCCTTTAATTTACCATCAATTCCTAATCACTCTAGGAACTTCTTGAGTCATATGGCTTTTTAAGTGGTGGCAAAACATACTCTGCGTTCTAATTTTATGGAAGATAAAGACACTCAAGTCTAATTCTTATTTCTCTAGCTTTATTATTTAGTAGGAACACCTTTCCTAAACTAAATGTCACCTGTATGGGTTTTTGGCCTAATTAAGATTGGAATGTTCTTTCAAGCATAGGTTGTTATCTTAAAGTACAACCTATGGGCTATGGTTTTTCTTAGGCATTTTATATCCCTTTCTAGCTTCTAGTACTTTTTTTTACTGAGTTGGCTGAGGATTGACTCACAAGTCCTGCTTTGTAATGTGTATTCAAAATGGCACACAGTGTTGTGTACATTGAGCTACCAACTATGCTCGAGTATGGCACTCTTTCATGCGTTTTATGTCAAAATCCTTTGCAGGATGCATAACCTCGCTTAAGTTATGTCCTTTGTCTCTAGGGGTCACTAGTGTAAAATACCCCATTTGGCTTCTGTTAAAAATAGCTTTTCGCTACTGTATACATGTTGTAGTGGAAGCAACAGTAGCGAAAGGTATCATTTATGACTTCTGTTATAAAAGAACAGAAGTCGTAGGATTCAGCACTTATGGCGACCGTTCCAAGAGCAACAGAAGCCATAGGTACCACCTATGGCTTCTGTTTCATAGTATAACAGAAGCCATAGATACACACTTATGGCTTCTGTTATAGCTGTAACAGAAGCCGTAGGTGACTTTTTTAAAAAATATATATATATTTTTAATTAAATATTAACCTCTTATTTAGGAACCTGCTATTATATACAACCAACTATATCTAATATTAAATACAACCACTAATACACAGCAAATATGTACAACCAAGCCAAATAGATGGTTAACAAAAGAATAGATCTAATAGTAGCATGCTCTACAAAAGGATAAACATGTACAACTTACTATATCTACCCTAATTTTGTTAAAGTTAAAAAGTTCTCTGACCAAATTTTTGGTCACATATAAAATCTGGAGAATTCTGATTCTTCCAATGGAAAGTGAAGAATTACAACTTCCCAAAATGTTACTGATAGATACAATCACAAAAGCTTTAAACACAAGGTAAAGCAGGGATCTGTATGTGTTTGATAGCCTAGAGACTTGCAATCAGTGCCACATTTATCATGACCAACATCTACAAATTGGCAATTATATCCAACAGAGACGTGTGAGTACCTACAGTTGTAATAGCAAGCCTCGTGAATATGATAGAATAATTGATGATCATATCAGAACCAAATCTGCTATATGCTCCAAAAATTTTCATTAGGAAACTAATGGCACCATAATTGCAGCTGAAAGAAAGAAGAAATAGCATCAAGTGTAAATCCAAATAGCACCTTACCTGCATATGTTCAGCAATTTCTTATAGTTGGAGAAATCCATGTATGTGATGCTAAAAATGATTTAACATTAGTAATTAGTAAGTACATCATGGTGAATTGAAAAGATTCAGCAAAGAGATTACAGGCAAACATAAAGTATTCAACCAAAGCTAGAAAAGCATTAGTTTTTCATTTTTCAAGCTATAATTGATATATGAATTAGACCAAGGAACTGATATAGTGAAATAGCAGAATGATAGCTCACAAGTGTCTAGTATGTGCAACCTCTAAGCGGGTTCGTCCCACCTGTACCCCCAAACACAAATATATTATCACTAACAGTTGTACAGCTATGGCTGTCACTAGGAGTTGGTAGGGTGCCTTTGATCACAGGTTGGCTCCAGGTCTGCATGACTGCAAATCAGCAATAAGGAATAACATGAACAACGTTCACATTGAGTTGCCAGAGTGATAGAATAAGCCAGTAAATAAATAAACAAATACATCGAAGCCATTCACATACGAACTAAATAATTGCTATATGAAACCAACCACTAAATGTATCCAATAGTTTATTCTTGCATTTCTAAAACCAAAAAAATAAAGAAACTATGTCATCCTTAAAAGGGAGAACAAGGCAACATTTTATCAAGCTTGCAAGAAACCAAAAAAGGAAAGAAAGAAACTATCTTTTCTCACAGGATACCGAGCATGTCACTGGAAGACATGGGAATGAATCCACTAACAAAAAATATTGAAAAGAAAGATGAATAGATCCTCTCAAGAGCAAGAAAACTTTGATTGGAAAACATGACAGCACGCATGCAAGAATTGTTTGAGACCGGGGGGCGAAAACAAAGAGCGAGAGTGGCAAAAAAACTTTAGCACCTGGATTTATTTCACATTTCATCTCAGAACACCGAGCAAACAACAATGCAAAATCAATGCGCCAAAAATTTCTTATTCTAGACAACATAGAGTGAAAATAGATAAGACCCAAGAGATTGCAGTGTAGACGCACCAGTGTCAAAGACATGCAATAGGTTCGTTTGACAGTTATCTCTGCCGTAGCCCCCGAAGACATAGAGAAGTCCCCCTCCTTTGATGGTGTTACAGGTGTGACCCAACCTCCTCCTTGGCCCACAAAACTCATCAGCTCCTCCTCCTTGACCCTGTGTGGGCTTTCCCTGGACATTTTCCCACTTCATTTTCAAGATTCAATTACAACACAAACAAAATTCTTTGTGCATCTCATAGTCATCCATTCAAACAGCAACAATAGTTATATATATGTATATTCACTGTGACAACTCCGTTTAATAAAATGAAAGACGATGTAGATGTAAAATATACCTTTCTACTGCAAATCATGTCACCATTTCATTGACGCTACCTTTAAATTAGTCTTTCTTGCAGGTTCAAGCAGAGCTGAAGCCCCAACAACTTGATTATTAATAGGTGCTCACATTCATCACATTATATCAACATGATCGACCTAATGATTTTTAAGAATATGAAATAATCACCTCGAGTAAATTTCCTTTAAATTTAGCTTAGAAATCAGTTTCCAGTGAAATATTATCCTCGATCCTCATAACCGTGTGAAGTTCATACTTGGCTTTAAGTAGACTTTACTAGATTTCTTCAATACCTACACGTATCAATAGATTCAGATTATCACAAATTTTTACTACATTTTGCAAGTAGATACACAATAAAAACAAAATTAATTAAAAGTTATTCCACAAACTAAATACGGGTCATTCTAATTCTTTAACAAAATCATATTTCTAATTCCTAAAACCATTAGAGGTTCGACTTCAAAGGATAGAAAAGGTCAAGGTGGAAAAGAACAAACCTACATGCATGATGAAGGCAAAGAAGAATCAAGAACTTGAATATCACAACACCACGACGCACTAGAATTTTGCACCTTTTCCTCCACCATTGTGCAAGTCGTCCAACACCTTGGAATTCTTAAAAACCTTCTTCCCAACCAATGACAGGAAGAAGGCGAGACCTAACAGAGACCGCAACACACTGAAGAAGCAGGGGAAGAAAACAAGAGCAGAGAGTGATCTTGAACCAGCTTGAGACCCACAGTACACTGAAGAAGATTTTGGTAAGACCCACAACGCACTAAAGAGGACTCCAATGAGATCTAACAACAGCCACCCACAGACAGAACAAGAGGAATGGGTGCCGTGAGACAGAGGGAGAAGGGCGCGAGATGAATAGTTTTAGAGGGAAGGGCAAAATTTTTTTATATAATAGTAGGCTTATGATATCAGGTCCAAATAAAAAAAATTTATAAACCTATGACGACAGGCTCAACTTGGCCCCGACGCCATAGGTGAAGAAAACCTATAGTGGCTGTTCCATTATAGACTAAATGTCGTAGCCCAAAATACTAACAGAAATAAATACTTTTTTATGTAAATTTTTTTTCAAAAAAAAAATACAAGCTTTTAATTGGATAAGTTATAAAACCAATTAAGATAAAATTTCTCCTAAAAAAAATTTCACTTTGTGAAAATAAAAAAAAATTAAAACACTAATTAAAATTAAATTATTTGAATTTAAAAGAACTAAAAGTTTTTAGTGGCATGAATTAAATAAAAATAAAAGCAAAGTAATATTATCTCTATTTTATGAAGGAGAAAGTGCCATAATACTATTGTTTGAAATGAAAGATGATTTAAAATTAGTTATGGCTTCTGTTCAATTTTGAGCAGAAGCCATAAGTAAGCTTATGGCATCTGTTCTAAAGAGACCAAAAGCAAAAAAAATCTAAAACACATACAACTTCTGTTCCTTGTATAACTGACACAAAAAATAGTAGTTATAATGGTATTTTGCACTAGTGGGTCTTCATAGGTTTGTAGTATATTATATTAAGGTACTAGAAGGTTCTACTTGTGCAAGTCTTTATGTGATAAAGATAGTAGTCCCCTTATGCAATCTCTACTTATCTTGTCTCTCAAGATATATTCTGCTCTGTCTATATACTTTGCATCAAAGTCCAAGAAGTACTTATCCTTAGTTTGTTTTAAATGCATATAGGCTTCCTTTGGGTTGGAAGCATGTTATCAAAGCAATGGGATAATGTCACAAAACAAGCAATAAACTACTTTGATGTGCATGATATGGGTTTCCTTCAATCTCCTTGAAGTTATGTGAGGCTTCATAAAACCTCAAATACCACTATGTAGATGATTATTTGAGAAGCATTTTTTTCTCTTTTTCTCTTTCTTATAAAGCTCTCAACTTACTTCATGTAGCTAGAGTGCATTATCTATTTCTCATGTAGAGAAGTGGTATTTACATCTATTTGATGTAATTTCAAGCTTAAGCTTTGGTTTTATAGCCAAATCAAGCCTTCTGCAATTAAGACTCACAACAAGTAAAGATGTTTTGTTAATCCACACTTTGTTGTGTGTGTACCCTTAGTGACTAAGTATACCTTAAATTTCTTAATTGATATATTCATTTTTTAGTTGAGAACATACTTATTCTGGTTGCCTTTCAGCTAGATGTTAGATCAAATGATTTACTTACTCAATTTGAAATTAACTTTCGCCTATATGGCTTTCTGCCATTTTTCTTCAGCATATCCTTGATCTTTTGAACACTTTCAAGGCTTTGGACGTTACCTTTTGGATTGACAATGTGAGCTGCTCCTCTCTTAGGAGCCTGGTCATTTTTCTTCTCTATAATGGGGTTTAATGCACAGAGCTCTCTTGTTGTGTTTGGGTGAGGTCTTTTGATATATTTTTGTTGTGATTATGACTCCTTGTGATAACTTACCTTTTGTTTCTTATCTCTTGTATCTTTTTGTTGTGAAAATAGCTCAACCCTCCTACTCAGATTAGTCACTTAAGGAATACTTGTTGGTTCCTCTTCACGGTTTCTCTCTTATAGAGATTTGGTGTGATATACTCTCTCTTTGCTAGAGAATTTGGTTCACAAGAACATTGTGTTTCTTGAGTTTATTTTAGTCACTGTGCCGTCATTATTTTCACCAACAAAGACGTACCCTATTTGAATATTTGGAGTATTTGATGAAGATACACTGCTTATCTTTCGACTTCAATTTGTTATACCATGGGAAGAATCATGGATGCATGTTGTTGACCGTCATGGTCTTAGCATGTCCACAATTCACAGGGTATTATTGTGACTATTTAGAAAAAAGGGAATTAAGTTGGTTATGAGAGCTATAGTTACTAGTTTTTTCCTCCAATTCAAAATTGGTAGTTGTACTTGTGCTATCATTGATCCAACCATGTTAAGGAGAGTTATTTTCTCCTTCTGTCTACTCCATCTTGTTTTGGAGTTCCTAGGTTTGCTTGACAATCCCTTCTATTCACAAAATGTATAAAACTCATTAGACTAGTATTTCACAACCATTATCAGATTTTAAGACTTTGACCTTATTGTTTAACTGATTCTCAATCAAGTTAAGGCATTTTTTTGAAGCACTCTGAAGTCTCAGATTTATGCAAGGTCATAAATGTTCTGTTCATTGAAAGAAATCACTGACAAAGGAAGTATAACACCGTGTTCTATGTCTTTCCTTCATACTCATAAGACTATGAACATTAGAGTGAACTAGTTACAAAGGATGCTCGAACTTAGTTACTTTTCAGAAAGGTTTGCTCAATATCTAACCAAGTTACATTCAAATAGGTATACTTTTCCCTTTCATACACATGACTTAGCAAATCCTTTTTTGACAGTGTGATCATATTCTCTCGGTCAATATGTCTCTTAGTCTAGTGTGCCTTGGTGAGAATCAGAATCATTATTTCCAAGATTATTGAAAAAAAAAATCTAAAAAATTGTCCCATTTCTGGTTGGTTCTTAACTAAAGAGGTAACAGACATGATTTTATCAGTTATATAGAGCATAGAGTAGATTGGGTAGTACTGAGGGTGGTTCTCTATACAGAGTTAATGCGCAGGTTCCAATCCCTTTAACTTCTACTCTTCCCCCATTTTTAGTCAAATACCACTTGCCCTTTGATGGCATCTGATGAAAATCAGTGAAAACTCTATTGTCTGTTAGTCCTTAGTCTATAATCCACAAAGGATTGTGACTTTAGCTATGTGAGCAGTGCTTAAATGCACATGTGAAATGTGAGGAGTACCACCACATTTCTACTATTCATAGAGGTCCTTGCCAAGATGAATTCTCTTTTGGGAAGAATTATACTTGATTTTTACTAGGTCTACTCCTTTTATAAGCCTATTGTTTTTATTAGAATTGGGTTTGGAGGACAAATCCTCCCCCTCTATAGTTAAAAATGCACACACATAAAAGAAATCACATAAGCAGGAACACAACACTAAAATGAAATATAGGCAAGCTTAAAGCATTTTTTCATGCGAGAGAGGAAAAAAACTTTAAAAAAATGTATTAGGAGCAAAATATATATAATGCAGCGAAAGGAAAAAAAGGGCTTTTACACATAGCAAAATATTACAGCCTTAAGATCAACACGGCTTTGATGCCAATGAGGGAATGTAAATATTGAAGAGAAACATGTACTGGGTTGGCTCCATGGTTGGATTAGGATTATTCCTTTAGAGCTCCATGAGTTGATTTACTGGTGCTTATGCAAGGTTTAGACTACTAGAGTCTAAACTTGAGTGGCACAGCAAAGTACCACATTAGAGAGAATAGAGAGGGAAGGAGAGATGGCCAAAAAACTTAATGGGTGGGGTGAGATGAAATGAGTTGAAGCACCTCCTATTTATAGGGCTAGTGTGACCACCATTTCAGGAACATGCAATCTCACTTATTTATTATAGGATAATATTCAAATTCACAATTGATAATTAATATATGATTTATTCCTCTTCAATCAATCAAGTCCTTAATGCTTGATTGAATATTTCCTGATTAATCATTGCCCCTAATTGATGATTGATTTCCTTTGATTGAAGAGATTCTCCTCTCTGAAATTAAATAGTCTAGCCCATCAAAGGCGGACTCAGACTCAATGTCCAACAAACACTATACGTATTCCTTTGAAATTGAATACATTATATTTGGAACAGTAGTTAAGTTCTCTAACAAAATATTGTCAAACTCTCTCCTTAAGACAATTCGATATGGCAAGGACGACTAAGGGCAAGTTTAATTTCTATTCAATTTTTTGTTGGAAACAAAAAAAAATTATAAGTTATGATGAGACTAGGTGCAT